GACCACTGATTCTTCTTCACTATTCCCAACTTTTGCCTTTCTTTATTACAAATGCTTTTATTTAAAAAAACACCTGAAAAACCAAAATCCAACCTCAAACAATGACCATACCCATGGACCTCACCTGATGGATTTCACTGGAATCAGATTGACTTCCTCTGGTAGGAAGAATCACTGGAGAAGCCCTAATTCTGCTATAAAAACTAGACTAGGTGATGACTTTGGAACAGGCCATCAACTACTCCTATATAAATTAAAATTGGATCTAGAGAAAATAAAACTATATCTACATAAGGCAAAATACCTTCAGTCTATTCCACTGAATTTAAAAACTATTTCAAGAACAGGTCTGAGGCATTGAACACTTATCATTGTATACCAGATAAGTTGTGTGATGACATCAAGGATATTGTTCATGGGGAAAGCAAAAGGTCATTATGAAGACAGAAGAATCAAAGACCGAAATAGATGTAAGAAGAGACTGAAAATTCCACTGAAGTACCAAGAAGCCATAACAAAGGGAAGAGATGATGAAATAAAAGAGTTAAACAGAAAATTTCAAAGGGCAGTTTGAGAAGACCAAGTAGGAGCTCTGATTGCCTAGTGGCAAGAAACTGAACTGCAGTCCCTGATATATGCGGTTCAAATCTACCAGATGCTCTGCTGGACAAGGAGGGGCAATCTCCTGTACTAGTCAGATCCAATTTGACGACACACACACAAAAATATAATAAAAAAATATATAAAAAAGACAAAGCAAAGTATTGTAACAGAATGTGTAAAGAGCTGCTATAAAACAATAAAAAAGGAAGATGTCACTCAGCATTTCCCAAGATGAAGCAAGTGAAGAACAAATCCATGCCTCTAATTGCAATACTGGGAGATACTGAGAGATTGCTATGGCCAAAAACTTGAATGACCTAGGAATTATCAAAAGAATGGAAGGAATACACAGTTATTATACCAAAAAGAATTGGCTTACATAAAACCATTTCAGGAAATAGCAAATGATCAAGAACCAGCAGTAATAAAGAAGTTTAAGGTGCTCAGAAGACATTAGCAAAAAATAAGGCCCCATGAATTAATAGAATACCAAATTACTTGTTTCAACATTTAAACTTGGAAGTGTTCTCCAAGTTGAATCAAGAAATCTGGAGGACAGCTACTTGACCAACTAATGGGAGGAGAGCTAAATTTATTCCTTTTTGCAAGAAATGTGATCCAACGTAATGTGGAAATTATCTAACAATATCATTATATGATATACAAGCCAAATATTGCTGAAGGTTATCCAAAAATGGCTAAACAGTATATAAACAGAGAATTTCCAGAATTACATGTCAGATTTATAAAAGGCCATAGCACCAGGGATATCATTGCTAATGTCAGATGGATCGTCGCTGAAAACAAAGGATACTGGAACAATGTCTACTTGTGTTTTATTGACTGTACAAAGGTGCTCGGCTGTGAATCATAACAAATTATGGCTAACATTGAGAAGATAGATCAGTAGGAGCTGAAATTCATTCCCTGACGTTTGGCCTAGTGGATAAGGAGTTGAGCTGTAAAGCCCAAACCAAGTGATTCAACTCTACAAGCTGTCTCAAGGGAGAAAGATGAACACTCTCATCCCATACAATTTAAAACCTTTGACAATCTACTGTAGAATCAGCAATGAGTCAGTTACAACTCAACAGCACATAACAACAATAACAAAAACAATATTGTAAATTATATATTCATATATATATATATATATATATATTTGTAGATAGTGACGTACCTTTCAGCAACCAAACCTCTTTCCATAATTGAGACGTAGGACAGAGTGGGTGGTGAAGAGTAAGGAACTAGTGTCAGAGATGGAGCTAGACCTCTGGAATTCGAATTTGAACCCATTAATTATTAAACATTAACAACATCAATTTTCTGAAGAATGAACATGAAGAGAGCTGCTTCAGTGAATCTAATGAAATAATTTTATTGTTGTTGTTGCTGTTATGTGCCATGGAGTCAAATATGACTCATCTAGTGACCCTTTGAATAATAAATAGCTCTGAACTCTGCCCAATCCTGAGACAATTTCTCTGTCTTTAACACACCTGCCCCCAATGCCACAGTCACTGTGTAAGGCTATCCAGGATCTTCCTCTCCTGTACTTTTTAAGCATGATGCCCTTCTCCAAGTACTGGTTCCTCCTGGCAACATACCCAGAGCATATGAGATGGAGTTTCAAAATCCTAGCCTCCAAGAAATAGCCTCATTTTTCCCTCTCCAGGACACACCCTTTTGTTCTTTTGACAGTCCATGATATGTTCAAAATGCTTATCCAGCACTACAGCTCAAAGGTATTCATTATTCTTCTATGGTCCTTAGTCATTGTCCAGCTCTCAGATACATATCAAGCAATTGAGAAGATCAAGGACTGGAAAGGTGTGCCTTCATCTCTAGGCTAACATTTTTTGCTCTTTAGCTCTCTGGAGCGGTCCCTGACAGCAGACTTTCCCAAAGAAACTTGTCTTTTGATTTCCTGACTGCTAGTGCCAAAATTGTTGATTGTGGAGCAAGATTAATTAATTTGTTAATGGTTAACCTCACTCTCTTTTCCTTCCTACCAGAATTCTGTCAGCTGGTCCAATAGTGAGAGCCTTTATTTTCTTGATGTTGAGATGCAACCCATACTGAAGACTGCAGTCATTTACCTTCTGCAGCAAACACTTCCAGTCTTCCTCAGTTTCAGTGAGCAAGGTGGTGGCATTTGTATAATGCAGATTATTGATGAACCTTCCTCCAATCCTTATGCCACATCCTTTTTCATAAAGTCCAGCCTTCTGAATGATCTATTCTGCATATAGATTGAAAAATTATAGAGAAAGGACACATCCCTGATGCACTCCTTTCTTGGTTTTGAGTAGTTTTGTAATAATAACTTATGCAGCATCTACACAATGCTGATGAGTTTAGTTCTTTAAGCAAACCTATGAGGAAAATATTGCTGTCATATTTATTTTGTACATAGAAACATTCAGGTTTATGAAGATTATTGCTTTGAGAGTTGAAAACATGCAGCTTATATCCTAGATATTGCTGTTATCATTAAAATAATTAACTGCATTATAAGTAATATTTCTGTTACTATATACATCTTCTTCTTCTTCTATAGGGAGAGCAGGGTTTGGAAGGCAGCAAAGGAGAAAGTGGTGAAAAGGTAGGTGTCTTTATTTACATAAAGTCATTAAATTGCATTCTGAGAAATACCTTTTTGTGTTTTATATACAATTAATTATTTTAAATCAATATATATTTACTTCCATTATTGCTTTAAAGTTGTGTTAATTATATATTGATGATTATCAGAAACTTTTCTAATTGTGTTTGGATGGTAATGGTACCTAGAAATTTCTAATTAAAGGCATTGTATTGATAAGTAAATTACTCAAGCATTTAATTGAGCTTTGTATTTTGTGTTAGAGCATCACTGATGTACTGAGTGGACAGTCTTTACATAAATGCTTCATTTATATGTACCCCTGATTTATCAGTGGAATATGACTTGTTAACAGTAAGAGTCTAAGAAAAACGAGATGGCACACTCCAAGCAAAATAACTTGAAAAAAGTTTTAACAGAGGGATAATTTTAAAAGGGTGGACTAGTTAGAGGAAAATCCAGAGTGCACTAGTCAAGATTAGGGATCAGTTAATTCCTTAAGCCTGGATGTTTTAAAGAATGAAGAGAGAGGAAAAGAGCAAAGAAATAGGAGCTCAGGGAAGCAGTCAACCCAAGATTAGCACATAGGAAATGACCTATCCCACAATCAGCCAGGGCAATAAATATCTCCACTCTATTCTCTCAATCTCAGCTCTTCTAGTGACTCCCATTAAAAATTCTAATTGCCGTTAAGTCAGATGGATTCAGATGACCCTCTGTTGGTTTTCAGAGGCTGTAAATTTCACAAGAGGAAATTGCTAATCTTTCTTTCTCAGATTTGGTGCACCCATCCTTTGGGTTAACAGTACAGCTTCCTAAGAACTTGGTCTCTAGAGCTTCCTGTGATCCCTATAAACTCAGAACTCATACTCATTGCCATCAAGTTACAATTTACCCATAGCTGATAACTCCTGTGGATTTTCAGAGGCTGTAAATAACATCAGAGAAGATTGTCTACCTTTCTTCAGCTGGTGGGTTCAAATAACCCACCTTTGGTTTGGCAGCACGATCCACTACTGACTAGGCCACCAGAGAGCTAGTAGGAGAGATGCAAACTATAGACTTCAGTCTCACAGCCCCCAAAGGAAAGTGGAGAGGGTGCATCTAGAGAGAGTAAGGATTTAAAGTGAAGCACCTCATGTCGCCTTCTCAAGAAATTTATGGTTAATTTTGCATTTGAACAGAGCATTTAATTTTAATACATGATTGTAAGTTGGTAAGTCTGTTATTGAAATGGACTTCAAGCAATCATAGTTTTACAAACTTAAAGCTTTCTACTGTGGAGAATAAGACACTCATCCAAATGTTCCAGTCAGACAATCATTTACAGCCCTTGAATATAAAAAATCTAATTTTGCTTTTGAATAAAGAAAAACAATGCCATTCCTTTGTTTTCTCTTACCCATACACGTTTTGTAAATTGATAGCCTGAAGGAATACTAGAAAGGGGAGTAAATAATCTCAAATTAGACTGTTTTGTCTGTAGGTCCCTTTCTTGGTGCTAATAGCTATTTGCTTTCTCAAGAAGAAAAGAAAGAATAAGTGTCTGTTATAATTATAAGACAAGTTACACATGTTATAAACTATAATTGCTTTTTCTCACAGAAATGTGATTAAAAATAAAAAGGATAGTCATGTAATTGGGAATGTCATTAAAAGACTATTTTTAAAAGTGAGTTTCTTGCCTTAGGAATTTACTAAGCATTTTTGCTTTAGAGTCAAAATCATTACAAGGGCTTGACTTTAAACAAATACTTTATTTACATCATTTCTGGTTTATTAATGGAATTTTATCTCTAGGAATAAATGAGAAAAGCAAAGAGAATGGATATTCTTTGTAATTTAAAATCATCAACTCCTCATTGAATTCTTATGTTCATCTTGATATGTTATATGCATTGTTGGTACTGCTAAGTAACACATTCTCGCAAGATATGTATAAGATGCAAAAAACATCCAATAAATTTTGCTTCAAATATTTCCATTCTAATTCCAGATATCTATTAACTGTTGCATTCAAATAATCCATTTCACTAAAATGTGAAATATTTTTAGAGAAACATTGAAAGCTATCAGGGAAAAGTAAGCCTCAAAAAGAGAAGGAAAAGCATTGAAAAGAATCACAATTCAAATAATTTATAATCAGCTGTAAGGTTAATGTAATAATAATATGAATGTATGTGTATATTTAAGTTCTATGTGGCTAACTTTTGTTTCTGGAGTGAAGTTAAATAGGAAAGGTACATAAAGCTCTCCTTTTTATGTGACACCAGCACCAGAATCTTGGGCTGTTTAAGGCATAGTTTATTTTCTGAACAAGAACAATCAATCCCATTTGAATTTCAGATTTGTTTGTTTATTTAAACTGATATATAAAAAACTCTCTTTAGTTGGTTTGTTGTGGTTTTTATGATATTTAAATTTTGACTATTCAAAGTGATAAAATTGACTAGTGACAAAGGAATTCACAAACCTGCTGTTTGGTCAGGGCTTTCCATATTCCACAAGGGCACATGGATACAAGTAGGAAGAAATATAAGCAAAAATTATGTTAACTATTGAAAAGAAAATATTATGTGGTATTTCTATAATCTAGCAGAAACTAAGTGGAGAAATCTGCTGTTTCTCATTATGGCCAGAAAATTAGCCTTTTCATGACTTTAATCATGAACTATTTCTTCAAAAAGTTGGTCTGTTATTTCCAAGGGGGCCGCTGGACTTTAGACTATTTGTTTGACTCTGTAAAGTGGCTGGGTTAAGTTGTGGTGTAGTGTGTGGGGAGTTGTGCTGTTTAGTTAAAGGCAGCACCTCAACTGGTGGTTCCAATCCACCAATGGTGATTCACAGCCTCCAAAAACCTGGTGGAGGGTCAGCAATGAGTAGTGGTTAGTTTGGCTCTGACATAGTGGATGATCTTAAGCATAATAAAAGGATACATTGCCAGGTCTTGTGCATTCCCTGAAATTTTTCCAAGTATAGCATACTTCATTGGAAGTATGTTGTTGTTGTTGTTATTGTTATGTGCCTTTGAGTCGCCTGTGAACCATAGTGACCCTATGTACAGCAGCTGTGAACCCTTCCCTGTCCTGAGCCAGTCTCACTAATTCTGACACACTAACCCCCATTGCCCCAGCCACTGTATCAATCCATCTCATCCAGGGTCTTCCTCTCCTGCGCTATCTCTCCACCGTTCCAAGCATGAAGCCCTTCTCCAAGGACCAGTCTTTCCTGGCCACATGCCCAATGTAGGTGAGATGGAGCTTCACAGTCCTAGCCTCCAAGGAGAAATTTGGTTTCACCCTTGGCAGGACAGACCTATTTGTTTCCTTGGCAGTCCATGGTATGTTCAAGACTCTTCTCCAGCACCATATTTCTAAGGAATCAATTCTTACTCTGTCATCCTTAGTCATTGTCCAACTCTCTGATGCATAGCAAGTAATTGTAAAGACCATGGACTAGATGCCTATTTCATTTGAAGACTGAGGGTTTCCTATACTTCAATCTGTAGCAAATTGCCACAGAGCATCATACAAATTATCTTCACACACACACACACACACACACAACCTGAAAAAGCTGAACATCATAAAAATTATTGCTATAGAGCAGGAAACCATTCATAGTGACCCTCCACTGGGTTTTTGGAGGTGGTAAGTCACACGAGAAGATTGCCCATTTTTGTCCCACTGAGCCACTGGAGGATCTGAACTGCCAGTGAGGTGCTACCTTTAACTGAGCAGCACAACTTCCTGCGCACTACACCACAAGTTACCTTAGCAAACATAATTCAACTGAGTCAGTTTTTAAAGGAAGTTGTTTTAAAGGATAGATTTTGGGTTTTGTTAGGTGCCATTATCTCATCGTGGTCAACTCAACAGATTTAAATCTATTCCAGTTCTGCACAGTCACTATCTCCACTGTGCTCAAGCCCTTTTTTTCAGTCGCTGTGTTAGCACATCTTGTTGAGAGTCTTTCTCTTCTCTTCTCACTTTATGCCTTTCCAAGCATGATAGCCTTTATAGAGACAGGCCAGACCCGTCCTCACAACATGCCCTAAGGATGTGAGATTATGTTTAACTATCCCTACCTCTATTGATGCCTTCAATTAGTGGTTCAAGAGTCTTGAACATACCATAGATTGCCAAGAAAACTAATAGGTCTGTCTTGGAGAGAGTGGAACCAAGTCTCTCCTTGGAGGCTAGGGTTATGAAGCTCCATCTCACATACATTGAGCCTATGGCCAGGAAAAACCAGTCCTTAGAGAGGAACATCATACTCAGAAGAGTGGAGGGAGAGTGCAGGAGAGGAAGACCCTGGATGAGATGGATTCATACAGTAAATAGAGCAATGGGGTTTGTGTGTCGGAATTAGTGAGACTGGCTCAGGACAAGGAAAGGTTCAGAGCTTCTATGCACGGAGTCCTATGGGTTGAGAGCAACTCAATGGCACATAAGAACAACAATCCCTGCCTGTAAGGAGCACTCTGGCTGCATTTCTTCCTACACAGATTTCTTGTTTGCTCTTTTGGCAGTCCATTCAATACATTGCAAATGCATCCATTTTTCTTTGATCTTCTTTATTCATTGTCCAACTATTAGGTGCATAGAAAGCAATTGAGAATACCACAGATTGGATCAGCTGCACCTTACTCTTTAACTGACACCCCTTAGAACTTTAAAGTTCCCTGATCGCAGATTTCCTCAATGCAGCACATCTTTTGATTTCTTGTTTGCTGTTACCATGGGTGTTGATTGTGGATTGAAACAAAATGAAATTATTGACAATGTCAATATTTTCTCTATCTGTCATGAAGTTTCTTATTGGTGTAGTGTGAAGATTTTTTTTTATATTGAGGTCTAATCCATACTGAAGGCAATCATCTTTGATCTTGTTCAGTAATGATTGCAAGTCATCTCCACTTTCAGCAAGCAAAGATGTGTCAACTGCCTAACATAGTTTTGTGTAAAACATAGCATTGAAATGAGTAAATGTATAAAAAT